AATATTTTTTTTATAACTCTAAAGGGCCGAGAACAAAAGGTAGATTCTTATCAAGAACCATTTACGCATCAGGCTCCAGAGCAGATACCAAAGACATTTGTAGAGGCGGTGAACATACTTCGGCCTTCAGCTATCATTGGTAAGTAAGGTTGTTTTTGTTTCTGTGTTTCCATCATTTGGTTATTTGCTGCACTTAATTTGCTAACGTGGCTGCAAAGGAGATTGGTGACAGTGATCTACACTTCTGCTGGTGAGATAAAGAAGATGAAAATGTGAGGTCAGTTTTCTGCTTGAAAATACACTGGGCTGTGGGTTAGCTCTCGGTGTATGCTGCGGTGCTCCTTCTGCATCTTGTTAACTTGCTTTCTCTAGTCCTTGTCCAGCTGGTGTTGGACCTTTCTTAGAAAACTCTTGAGCATGTTCTCAGGGACTGCATGGCAACAATGAACTGAAACTGTAATGAAGGGCATCAAGAGTCAGAAAGACAAAAATATGACCTTTTTTTTTTTTTCCTGACCTGCCTTTCCCTCGTCAGCTTCTCTGGCTAGAATCTGCCAGCAGCATGGCTTGAAGGAGCTGTTTCATACTGCAGATCACCAATACCCGTTAGGTTACTGACATGTAGATACTAATTTATAACTGTCGGTCTGCAGAGGTCAGATGGGATTACAGGTATTTCCTGGTACAACTCTGCAATTTCCTTTGCACATGATTTATTTGGAAAAGAAAATATTTTGACCGAGTAGCTACCCTGAAGTTTGTAGCCAGTGTACAGATGTACGCTATTTTTATGTGTATGTACCTATGTTTTTGGGTGTGGTCAGAAATACCTGTATCAAGGGAATGTGCATTGCACAGTTAACACCTAGCTAGGATGAATCATCTGTGAAGAACCTGGAGTTCCTGCTTGCTTATCCAGGGCAGCAATAAGCATTCCGTACACTGATCAATAAAAAAAAAAAAAAAGTAAAATAGGCTTTTGGAACACATTAATTAGATGTTCCTGTGAAAAAGAGAATTTTAAGCAGCCACTAACGGAGCCGTGCCTGGTTTCCATCTCCTGCTGCTAGAAAAGCCTGCGATGCTTTGCTCTGAGTGGGAGATTTCAGGGGTGACATGAACTTAATCTACAGTCGCTGTCAGCTGCCCTGAGGCAGTCAAGTATTGATTCTATTTTTATGTGTTTCCATTTACTTCAGGAGTTGCAGGAGCTGGGCGGCTCTTCTCTCAGGATGTGATCAAAGCAATGGCCTCTATCAATGAGCGACCCATAATATTTGCCCTAAGTAACCCTACAGTGAAAGCTGAATGCACAGCAGAGGAAGCATATACGTTAACAGAGGTACGTAATGTTTAGAAATGTTGAGCTATTGTCACTTAGTGATAGAACTGTTTACCTAGTGTAAGAATGGAAGAACTCAAATTATTTTATTGTTACTTGCACTTACTGACATAATAATACAGATCTGTCTTGTCTTCTGGCAAAAGTAAATGGAGGTGATTTGAAAAGAAGTCTGGATTTTTAAATAACACCATTTTGCAGAGCTTAAAATAGCCTAAACCTTATTACTTTTTAAAAGAATGACCACTAGGTACTGTTTCATAGCTTCGCTCAATTAACTGTTTCCCACCATGCTTTTTAATTATTTTGTTTTTTAAGAAATGTCTTATGTTAACATTGTAATAGATACTAGGTGCAACCTTTAAAAGGTAATGGCTGCCACATTGTGAATAAAGTCCTTAAAGCAGGTGATGTCCTGGTATCAGGCCAGGATTTCTGCTTTGCACTCAGTCATTTCCTAGTGTCTGCAGGTCAGAACTCATATCATTAAGAGTGACCTGTGAAGACCTGTGCTTCCAGTGCAGGAGTCTGTGGTGGTCCTCTGTCCTTGTGTTCCCTTCTCGCAATGTTTGTGTCTTGTACACTGGCACCACCAAACGTTGGAACGAGTGAACCAAGAATAAACATGTCTTGTCCAGCACTCTTACCTCAAAGCCGTTATACTGTGGGGTGTTTGGTGGGAGGCTTGCAAGTTGGGTTTTTGGGGTGGTTTTTTAATAACACTATCACCAGCACATCCAGACCTTGGTTTTGCCTTTAATGAAGCAAGTCTTTTATCCTTCTGCACAACTTTTTGTAAAAAACGAACCATCTTTGAAGAGAGCCTGAGGGGAAGGACATGGGGGCAAGGGAGCAGCATCAGGCAGACAGAGCACTAGGTTTAATACTTTGAACTGGCTGGTAATGCCTTTCCTTTACATCGTAGGCTCCAGCTTGCTGTGATCTCAACCCTCTCCACAGGGCCTGCCTGCAGACTGCAGGGGTGGGGCTCGTGAAAAGTTGTTTTTTTTTTTTTTTTTTAATAACAGTCCCAAATCAAGTGACTCATATGGGAAAATGAGTGGGTGGAGATCTTTCCTTGTTTCTTGCTGCAGAAATATGAACTTCTTCCTTCCACTGTTAGTCTGGCTCAGTTTCCAGCATTACAGCCTCAGAAGTGTTAGTTTCACAGTGGGAAGGGTGGAATTCCATCTTCTCCAGTTGGCCCCCAGATTCTCTTCTGTGTTACTGGGCCCCGTCAGCATGCAGGGAGCTCTTGCTACAGGAATTTGGAGGTCCAGAGTGAGCCCTAGGCAGGAATAACAGCCTGTGCACAAAATCTAGACCTTAGCTTTTAATAGTAAATGAGAACACTTTTAAATGAAGATGGCTTAATACCTCTCGGACATCTTGCGTTAGCCAGCATAGTGAGTTGGGCAGTGTTTCAGTTTATAAAATTAAATTCCAATATCTCGGATAGAAAGTAAACAGGAGTTAGTTATACAGCTGGCATATATAAATGTAAAAAAACTACTGGCATTTCTGATGGCCGAAGGAGGCCAGCAGCACTGTTAGAGAGATAGTGCTTTTAATAGACTATCAACAGAGCATTAGATGTTTTAAGGGAAGAGGCTTACTTATTCCCCATGGCTGTGTGTTGAGTCCCAAGGAGTTGGACCTCAGGCTAGTTGTCACTGTCAGATGCAGAAGCAAGACGGTGCTGGTTAGTCTCAGGTGTGGTAACAGTGCTATTTAAAAAGTTTGTGCCAAATGGAGAGAGGATCTTTGTTTTTTTTCCTGGATCCATATGTCTTTTTACGCATGATTTTCTGTAAGTTATTATTTATAGACATGGCTTGTTTGGACAATTAAATATTATGCGTCCATAAATGAACAGGTATAATTTTGTTCCAGTACTTATTAATACATTTTGTAATGTTTCTGGCTCTTTAGAATTTTCTCCATACCTAATGTTTGTTTTAAAAATGCTTTTTAGTTCTCTGAAATGTACTCAGTTTACCCCATAGTTCACCCTTCAAAATGTATAATATATTTCCCTTTAAGATACAGTAATTACCTAGAAAATCCTCTCTGACTTTACTTACTATGTCGTTTAACTAACAAAGTTTGTCAGGCGATTAGAGGTGTCAGCCCCATGTTTCTCCTGGCCTTGGGAATAGCCTAGTCCTGGCTGGCATGAAATCTTAGGCTAAACTAGGAAGTCAGTAAGGAAATAAAGATTATCATCACTAACCTTTTATTCCTTATTCTTTTTCCACTAGATGGCACCTGTAAAAGCCTGACGATGCTTTAGTTCCCTCTGCCACTGTGTATTGTGTGGGCTTTTTGTGTGTTTTAATTCTCACTTTGTCTTTTGGTCCTGTCCTCAAATGCATCTGTATGTTCTGCTCCCTACACAAAGACTGTTGTCATGGGTATGCCCTAACATTCAAACATAGTTCCTGAGTTTTTAGTTTCTTTGGCAATTAGTTCTCAAATGTAGTGGTCCTGGGGAGCCTTAAATATTTTAAAGTAATGTTATTAAACGTGTTACTCAAAAGAAAGTCAAGATTTTTTGCTTAAAGGGGTTTTACTGCTTGAGGAAAGGGTCCTTTATTTGGAGGGTATATTTCACACTCCAAACTCTGGATTTGTTTTAGTATTTCGTGATGATTAAAATCCTTTTCAAAGGAAAGATCAGTAAACTGCATTATTCACTCATCTCGGAGCTCTCGGCAATAAAAGTATGATACAGCAGTCCCTCCCACCCATCAGTAAACAAGTGACCTTTTGTGACTGTACTGCTATTTCAGTCGTCTTTTGGAAGTAGCTGTTATTCAGCTGTCTTTGTACAGTCCCTACAGTGGTGGCTCCTGGCTTGTGGCCATGGTTCCTGATACACGGTTATGGTTATAATAATGGTTAAGACACAAGTACTTTATTTTGTGTTAGTAGTTCCTCTAAGTCATTGCTATCTTAAAGAACAATGAATGATAAAACAAATAGATTGCTTCCATTCCTTAGAAAACTGCATAATTCAATGTGTATGCTTGCCTCTGCTTCCCAGATGTTTGCTGCAGAAACATTGCATGTTCTGCAGTTGCAGAAACATGCAGACACTTACCGATTCTTGTATCTCTTCCAGGTTCTCCTTGGAAGGGTGGGTTTGGTTCTTGTCATTCTGGGATCGTAGGAACCGAGTCAGCAAGGGATTTAAGTACGTGCTTGAATCCAGTTGCACTCCATAGGGCCGTTTGCCTTTTTGCATTTGGCTGTGTGCTTGAGTACCTTCCTGACTCAGTCCTAGAGCTGTAAGAGTCTGGTGTCGCTGTATTTCATAATGGCTGTGTTGCTCCATACTGTTGTCTCGTTAGGAGCTGCCTGGCTGTGATTATTCCTCTTTGTTTAATAGGGTCGTTGCTTGTTTGCCAGTGGCAGTCCCTTCGAGCTGGTGACTCTGAAAGATGGAAGAACCTTCAAACCAGGCCAAGGAAACAATGCTTACATTTTTCCAGGTAATAAATAAAATTGTCTTCTTTTAATCTTTAAAACTAGGCTATTAGCACCTCTTCTTGGGTTTCCTTGCTGCACTAGGCACAGTTAGTGAAGCAGCATGAAGAGGTGTTACCAGCAATTTAAAGCTGGGAACTCTGTCAGAAGAATGAATGAAAGAAAATCAGTTAAGGATGGATGTTAGGCATGTGCAGCTGCATATGCAACATGCACACAGTGAGCTCACCCAACTGGATATTTCTAAGAAACAAAAGGGTATTATTAAAGGCGCTGAAAGCTGCTGCATTATGGAGTCTTCTGCTTGGGGCGGGGGGAGAAAACAAGTGTCAATACGCTCCTCTTGAAGTTACGTCTGCACAAGTGAGGGTACAAAAGAAGCACTAGGGATATTTCTCTGCCTTCCCATTTCTCTCCCTTTACTCCCTGAGCTGCTAAGCTGTAACCCCTTGTCAAAAGCCACCTGTTACAGTAAATGACTAGCACACATGGTAATAGTTTTGCAAATGTGTGGAGAAAGCTATGGGAATATTTTTAAAAATAACATTCTAGATGACTTGCAGCTCCTTAGCAGCAAGCTGCATATTTTAAAATGATGTGGCCCTAATTGGCAATAATTTTATTGTAGGTGTGGCTCTCGCTGTCATCCTCAGCAGTGTTCGACACATTAGTGATAAGGTTTTCCTAGAGGCTGCTAAGGTAAGTGTGGAAGCAGAGTAGGCTGTGGCTTCTGACATGACGGTGGATGACATGATGAGCAATTCTCAAATCTTGCTGAAGCTCTGTGGTGTCCTGTTTGTTTTCTGTTGGTTTTATCCCTCCCCAATGGAAAAAAATAGATTTTCATCAAACAGAACTGTGAAAAGTACCAGCTTCCATTGCAAATTTAATTTTTCATCCAGAAACCAAACACTCAAGTAGGAAATCTCTCCGTGTATAAAGTGCCTCCCAGCCTCGTAGGTCTGACAGCAGGCCTGCCTCCTCCTCCTGCCCCACTCTGAGTTCCACAGCCGGCGGTGTGGTCAGGGGCGCACGTGGGCCCCAGGCTCCCATCCTTTCCTGCCTTTCCACTCTGGAGCAGGAGCATCTACCATCTTGGAGTAGCCAGTGAATCAACTGGCCAAACACACGGGCAGTCCCGCAGGCATGTTGTGCTCTTGTAACTTCATGGTTATGGGTAGTTCAACCACTAAAACAATAGGATCTTATTTTGCTAAATGCTTACAAGCAGAATTTGCTGATACGGGTGCAGGTTGCAGAGTTGTTCCTTGAGAATTTTGAGATTCTGACAGCCTTATTCTAGTGCTTTGGGAGCACTCTAGTAGTAAGAACACTGCAACTTGTTTCTCTCAGGTGTTTTAGCATGTTACTAATCCCCTTTGGGGTGCAGTAAATAAAACTTGTTTCTTTTTCTATCTCAGGCATTGACAGAACAGCTGACCGATGAAGAACTTGCACAAGGAAGACTTTATCCTCCACTGTCTAATATCAGGGAAGTTTCTATTTATATTGCTGTCAAGGTGAGTATGAAATGGCCTGTACTAAAAGTGTTTTATGTGTACATTAACCTGCTGAATTACACAGCATGACCCTTGAACACTAGGTGCTTGGGCACAAAATACCCAGTTCTTTGTGCCTTTAATAAGAGACACTTATAAAAATTTTGAGTTTGTTGAATGCTTTGGTTTGGCAGTGATCATGGGCCAAAATTATGCTCCTTTGATTTCTGAAATTAAGTTTTCAGATCCCTGGTAAGGCATTCAGGAGTTGTAAAAAGACTTTGGTGTATCCAGTTTGAGAGTCCTAAACATTGCAGTGGAAGTGTGGATATTATGTGGACGTAGTAAAAGGCACAAACTGCACGGTGATTTAACTTTCCAGGTTATGGAATTTTTGTACGCAAACAACATGGCTTTCCATTACCCGGAACCTGCAGACAAGAACCGTTACATTCGATCAAAGGTTTGGACCTACGAATATGAATCCTTCATGCCAGATGTGTATGACTGGCCTGAATCTAAGGTTCACTGATGCATCAGAAGATCGTGCTCCTCAGGCAGTATCTTCTACTCTGCAGGGATCCCTTTTTCAGACCAATTTAAATCATGATCTTTGAGTCCTGTAATTTATTTTTGCTCCTTTTGTTGTCTTTTTTTTCCCTTCTACCCTGTTTTTCACTTGACGTAGATTTCTCCCCGCTCTCCCAAGTACCTGATAAACTGTATGGATGATGGCATCTGTCACAGGAATGAGAGCGCTCTCCAAAATTAATTTAAATAATGACATTGCATTTCTAGCTTAGAGATGGCACCACACTAAAGAATTCCATTAATGATGTTTTAGTTTCGTGCGTTTGATGATGAACTATAGCGCTCTCATCACTGCTGACTTACAGAATGATTTATTTCTGCTTTTAATAATCAGTCTTCTACTTGTCTTGGTGTTGTCACACTGCATTATCTGTGACATCACCAGAGAGCATTCGTCCAAAAAAAAGAGGCAGCTTAAGACAAATTTAACAGTCTAATGGGCTTTCTGTTTTGTCTGATGTTTAAAGATGCCCATGTCCAGGCTTTCTTGTGGCATTGGCTGCTCTGTTTCTTTGAATGTGCTTTGAGGAGCAGTGTGGTGCACACATGTGGAACCCGCAGCAATGTTTGTATTTTATTTTTTTCATCATTGGGTGAAATCTGTTATTGGGAAAAATGTGAACTAGATAAATTATCCTTGGGAAGCCTGAATATAATATTAATCACTTAATAGCTTTTAAAAACAAAGCTACGCTGTTGCATTAGAAATTATATCACATAAGGCAGGATCTGAAGTAATGGACGGAAATCTTGGAGAGATTTTTACAAGGAGATTTTTCTGCAGTGGACTCCAAGGTGACGTACCAAAGGATTTTTTTTTTCAAGGTTCTGTTTCTTCTAAGCTAAATTGTTTTCTCCCTTGCATACCCTTTTTCTCACAAAAAGACTTGTGTGTGGCCTTTTCATGACATTGCTGACTCAAAAACTCCTAAGTGGACTCACTTGCCACTTTGAACAACCCCTCCTCCATGCAGCTGATGAAGCTGAAACAGAAAGTGTTACAGGCAGCTATTGACACGCACATTTACAGAAGCGTGACTGCACGTTTCTTGTGGTCTTAGTCCAGTTTATTCAGTTCAGTTTGAATACAGGACTTGAAAGATGTAATGCTTAGAAGCTCTAAGTTGATCGCTTCATCTTCCTCACTCTGTTTACAGGTTTAATTTGTCAGGTTATTTGTGTAAAAACAAAAATTGCAAGTTGAGTTTTTCCTTGCAGTGAACAGTACTGCACATTTGATCTGTAGATACCACAATGTGCATTCCTTTTCATTTTGTTCCTATCAGGTTTGAGTGCCCTCCATTACTTTCTATTAGCAGGGAAGGGCACGCAGTGATAGTTACAGTCTGTGACTTCTCTAGCTCTGGTCTCTGCAACAAGAACAATGGTATGTCAGGAACAGAAATAATGTGCTGTTCCTCACATTGCTGCATCAAGGCAAAAAAAAAAAGATAGATAGATAGATAGATAGATAGATAGATCGATAGATGTAAAAGGGCTATACTGCCAAACTTGAAGCAGGATTCCAAAGAGATGAGGTAAAGCTTGCTCAGAATTTACCCATGGCAAGCACCTCTCTCGTATCCTCATTTACATTAGAAAATGTAGTCTTCACAGAACAGATACAAAATAGAACAGGGAAAATAGTCTCTGTTCCCCCTTGGATGTGTTCTCTGTTGCTTACTGCCTAGTATCTGATTTAAAAATTATGTTCATGTATTAGATAAAAAGAATCATAAACTTTGGGAAGGCTTTACCTAAATGAAAGAAGAAGACTGATTATGTAAACACAGAAAATAGTGATGTGGGGAAAAGACTGCGTATTCAAACTGTGGTAAAGTGCTGTCTGCTGGGGCTCAAAATACTGCGTTGCCAAGTTGGGCGACATATGTGGTTTGCAACTTGTATATGTAAGTATATGTACAAAAAAGACCAACACACAGATACGATGTTTTTACAAAGAATGCTTTTTTCATCTATTTTTGCTATGCCTGGTTTTTATTGTATTTAAATTTGTGATCTTACTGAGAAATTATTTATTTAGTGTACAAATTATGTTTACCTTCTGAAAATTCAACTCTAGCTGAAGCCTGTTGCAGTGTGTCAGTGGAGTTCTGCATCATCGGATTCAAGTATATTGGGAACGCACACTTCCTCACTTCTGCCAACATACTAGTTAGGCAGACAAATAACAAAGATATCCCATGCACTGATCTTGTGTCCCAGCTGAAAATGATCACAGAGGCAGGGCAATCGGTCCATAAATATGACTCTCTCCTTACTAAATAAAGATCTGCACCCATCTATTCAGTCTGATTATTTTTTTTCAGGTAAGAAGTGGTCAGTCATGGTCCATAATCAGTGGGCGTTGCTTGTACTCGGGGAAAACCTGGCGCTTGGGAAAATAGCATTACCTGCATGCAGCAGGAGACTTGCTTTGGGCAAGAGTGGTTTCGGTTCCCAAAGGGAGCTACTGCGCAGGAAATTTGCAGTGGCTGCTGTCAAGCAGAGGGAAGATGTCCGTTTTGTGAAGTGCAGTCCTTTCCTGGCATGGGCTCCCTGCTGTTTTTAAGCAGATGCCAAGAAAGATTGTTCAGAACTGGCCAGCAGTGGGATTTTCCCAAGTACAAATGTTTCTGCATAATTTTTCTGGAAATCCCACTGCACAGGTGAGGAAGAAACAGTCTTTAACCTACTCAGAGGCTCCAGTTACAACACAGCCCTGATGGAGCTGCAGATGTGTCGGAGCTCTAGAGTATAGAAGGCCTGACTGTGACTCTAACTTGTCCCAGTTACGGCAGCTAAGTGGTACCAGTTGGACTTCATCTATGCATACACGCCTGTGGCATTGCTTAATCGGGTTCTCTGGATCATCTATAGCTTGCAATATGGACACAGCATAATTTTATCTTTAATATACGGCCATTGTTTTCGGTTAGCAACAGGTAACATAACAACAAAGCTCACAAAGTTTTAAGTGCATTTCATTCTTCCTTTAATCTTTTTTAGATTTTATTTTTTTTATAAAATATATAGATTCATCTTTGGTTTCGTGTGTTCTTCAGATCTAATTAATTACAACTGCTAATCTTGCCGCTTAGTAAGGAACCACAGTATCCTTTTTTTGTATTCTACTTAACCTGATTTTTTTTATTTGCTGGATAATCCAAAAGCATTTACCGATCTTTATCGAGAAAATTCTCTTATGCAGCATGCAAAGGGAAAAAGCTGTCACCAGGATGCATTTTGCAATGCTATGTAGTGTAAGTTAAGCTTATACCGTTCTTTAAAAAAATATATCACCTAAAGGATGACTAGTGTTCTAGCTCTTCACACAGCCCCGATGACTTTTGCCCTCCAAATGGTATAGAAGTTTCTCTTTCATGTCTCTTCTGTGAGGATGCCATTCTGGATGTACAAAACACTTCTGACAGGATCGGAAACTCCCACTGAGGTCAGTAGCTCAGTCTTTTCCAGGGCTGGTCCAAGACTTGCTTCCTTAAAATGAACAAGAGCAGGACTGAACCTTTTGGCAGCAATGTATAGAAATGTCTTAAGGGGAGGAGAAGAAAGGTAGCTAAGGGAGTGCAGCCTTTTTTATTGAATATGTCTGTTCTTGTTGAAAGATGTTGCAAAGGTTTGTATGTTCCTGAAGTGTATGCCCATGTGCCAACAATTGACATGTAGAGGAAGACTATTAAAATGTGTCTGATAGATTTTTAAAGCCCAAATGTGACGACTCCTGTAAGTTCTTGGTTATGTTTGTGAACAGTGATGCTTCATGATGTTGTGTTTGTCTTCCGAGCTTAAAACAAAGCGACACTTCACGTGCAGATCTGTGTTCAACAGGTTTCCTGTGGTAGGTGTCTTCTCTGTACTGTTGTTTCCAGCATGGTGTTTTGCAGGAGGAGAGTAAAGTAACTCTTTCTCACACTCCTCTGCTAGTAACTGTAAAGATAACACCTTTTAGTTTTTCATTAGCATTTAGTCACTGCTCCTGTAAGAGAGTGGGGATCACTAGTGTACAGCTACAGCAGTGAATTTTAGTTCAGCTGACTCTGGGCCTAAGTAAATCCAAGTTGTCATCTTTCATTTGCTCTGGGTCTTTTTGACTTCAAAGGTGCAGATTTGTGCACCTCTGTCATTCAGATAAAGTTTTCTACACCACTCTCGGATTGGATTGTAAGAACAGTACATTTCGGACTCCAGTTGTGTCTCGCCTGTAAGTGCTGTTCCTGAGTTTAAGACCACTGCTGTTGTTTTTGAGCTCTTTTTAAGATGATGCATACTGCTATCATGTTTCATAACAGCTGTATGTAATAGGCAGGGACTGGTGTTACATTGAATACTGGAGCAAGGAGAAAATCTAGAGCAAAGCTCTAATTGCACCCACTTGACAGCTGAATTTGAGCACCGTAATTCAGTTGCTGCTGGTGAAGGGACATCTAATTCTGTATGGATCTACCTTGACCTACCTACCTACTCCCGAAATACACATTACCATGGTATCAGAAAGCCTGCAGATGTTCTGGGTGAACCACGAGGAAAATTTACCATGCTTTAGGCCTCTGCTTCCTGCCATCGCTTCCTGAGTCGCAGCACTCTGTGAGGATGCAGCTTACTCGTGCCTTCTCCAGAGGGACATGTGTTAACAAGCTAGATGGTATATGGGGAATCCGGTACCTGGTGGCATGGTGGACCGTGGCTACAGCTCGTGTAAAAAGCTCTCTCGCATCAGATGTTTTGCTTGCGGTGCAGGAACCCTCTGGTGTGCATTTATATTCCCTGTGCATGAAGTGGTGATGGATTGAACTGAAATGTCTGAGTACCTTTGACTTACCCATCCTTTAAGTAGCTCCGTTCCTATGAAAATGGAAATAAAAATACTTCTAGGACTACACAAACATAGTAAGATGGCCAGTTTGTCAAGAAAGAAAATGT